TACAAAGTTACGAATCTGAAAGATCAATGCAAACGGAGATATCTCTTGTCTTTTAAAATTCTGGCAGTTTGATGCCTACAAAAATGGCTGATAGGGACTACAACGAGTTACTTCCCGGGTTTGTGACATCACAAACATCGATAAACCCCGCCCCCGGAAAAGGCAGCAAAGGGGGCGAGGCCATGTTGCACTGCTTTAGAGAAGAGGAAAAGATAACTAGAGGTGCACGTAAAAATCTGTTCATATAACTCCTGTAAAAAACATAAAAAATCGTTCTGTTCCCACACATTTTTCCGGTAGTGTGTATATATATATATATATATAAAAAAGTAAAGAAATTCAGCCAGACACAACAAATCTACGCTGTATCGGCTGACGTGAGAGGATGGTAGTCAGAAAACCAAGCCATTTCCTGGTATATTATTTTCAGACTATATGGTTATAGCTGGAAATGTCCTATTGTCCTAAGGTCTTCTCATAAGATGAGGCCAACAGCTTCTTAGTTTCTTTAATATTCCTCTGTTCTGCAGGTCTGGCTGGCTTGATGTCTGACCCACCTGGACAATGAAGCCAGCCTCTTAAAGGTCACTGAATTTTCTATATGCACTTCAAACAGTGACATCCACCCACTGTCTCCCTCTGATTTCCCTCTCTCACTCCATCACTACTCACTTGCACAAAGTTCCCTACGCTACTGGCCTTTAATGAGCTTTAGTCCTGGACACATCGCCAACAGATTCGTCTACTCAGAGCGGACAGGTCAATCCAGTGAGTCATGATGTGGCTCTCATGACAATCAGCCTCTGATTGAGTCTCTGTAGTGCAGATGGCTAAATCACATGGCTTAATGTGAGCCTACAGGGAAGGGCTTTACACAGCACATAGGCAAATAATCAGTGTAAACATTGCATTAGTTCATAGGTGGAAAACAGGATGTAACAGGTGTTCATAGTGCAGAAAAAAAGCTTGACTGTGTTGTTTGTATAATTGTGATAATAATACAATATTATATTGCAATTAAAGAAATTTAAGCCTATTTTTAAGACCATTAAGTTTTTTTTTAATTGAGACATTATTTTCCTGACATTTATCTATCTATCTATCTATCTATCTATACTGAACAAAATTATAAACGCAACACTTTTGTTTTTGCCCCCATTTTTCATGAGCTGCAAATCAGCATATTAGAATGATTTCTGAAGGATCATGTGACACTGAAGACTGGAGTAATGGCTGCTGAAAATTCAGCTTTGCCATGAAAGAAATTAATTACATTTTAAAACATTTTTTAAATTGTAATTATATTTTTAAATATTGTTGTTTTGTATGTATTTGATCAAATAAATGCAGCCTTGACTATAAGAGACTTTCAAAAACATCAAGAAAAGTTTTGTACCGATCCTTTTGAATTTGAAAGTTTAAAAGCTTTATACTCCCATCAAAGAAACAAAAACAATAACGCAGAGTTGTAATTTTTGCATGAAATTTAACTTGTGAAAATAATGTCTCAATGCAAAAATGCAATAGTTTCATTTTCATTATATAATACACTGATTTTAGGATGATTTTTGACCCTGACGGTGTCATGAGATTCACCCATTTAAAAGACCAGCAATAAGGATCTGAGCGGCTGGGGGTGTGGGCAGTAATTTTATAGCTAGCACTGGAAAGTTGCTAAGAAGTGAATTAAGCAGTCGGACACAGCCCAGAAAAGCTCACGCGATGGAGATGGAGAGCACAGCCCTCATCAGTATCTGCCGCTATGAGCTCTGATGCAGTTCAGCATGACGGGTAGAGACACATCATCATCATTAGTGTCTCGCATGCCAAAGCTTATTCTAGCTGCTGCATGCTGGTACTTTCTGCTTTTGTAAGAGGGTGATAAGAGCAGTGCTGGGTCACACGTGGCAATGATGATCCACTACGACTTCCAGGTTGGATGCGAGAGGCCTGCAAACCCACTTTACTAACCTACCATTACAAAACCACAAACATGCTCACTTACCATTCTGTAAGGTCTGCTTGCCTCCAGACAACACTCCTAGAGGTAGCGTTCCGGTTGGGGTGAGCCCTTTGAGGGTCAGTACACTCTCACTTTCTTCCCTGAGGCATAACACACACACACAGACACACACACACACACACACAGTATTAGGGTTGTGTTCAAAGAACTAAACGGCACATAATCAATTAGGGTGGGGTTGGGGGAAAAAGGAAAGGAAATATATGGTAATTTGAAACTTTGCAGCAGCGCCAACCTAATCTGAATATTGCTCAGAAATCCAAAGACAAAAGACTTCAAGATGTCCTCTGTTCCTCCATTATCTATGGCATTGTTCATCTGGAATAATGTCTAATATAATTAGACCGCTATTCTGCATGATGACTCACTGACGCCAGCTCATTAATCTTAATGGAGGAAAAGTGTGTGTGTGTGCGTGTGGCATTAAAACAAAACTTCACTGGGAAATTTTTCCTGCTCTTTATACAAACACTTTTATTTTCTTTTTGACAACTGTAATTATCTCCCAAGCAGCACAGTGAATATACACACACACACACATATATATATAATTACATGCAGACTGACCTGAGAACAGAAAAGACTCTGGCCATTTTCCCAATGGCACGGATCTTATTTCTGATCACCTCCTTACGGACAGCTGGAGCTCCACCTGCTCCAAAACACAACAAAAAAATCAGCATCAAACACCGTCACCCCATAGGACCTCTGACCCCCAAACCAGCTAAGAAGGGGGAACCAAAAATGTGGAAATGCTGAGAATCAGACATCCTGAACAATAACTGTTTATTTTGAAAATTATGACAACTGAATTTTGAACGGCATTTGAAACAGTTACTCTTTATCGACTTAATAAAGCTATAATAATAATAATAATAATAATATAATAAATCAATAATAAAAAACAATAACATTTACTGAATTAAAAAAATATATTATTATTAGAATTTTACGATACAAGTAATATATTTCTGTTGCAATGTCTTCCGTTTTCTGTCAAAATTGCTGGGTTTTATTCAGAACGCTGGAAAATGCTATGCAAAAAAAGACTTTGCGACAGACATATATTACTACTAATAATAATAACAATAATAATTAACAATAAGCTGCTTTGGATAAAAGTATCTGCTAAATGCATAAATGTAATAATAATAATAATTATTATTATTATTATACATTATCACTATTTTTATAAAATTTTTAATTGCTTAATATTTATTAAGCAATTCTATAATTTTTAATATAATAAAACTTTTTTTTACATTATTACCATTATTATTAATTACTAATCAATTGCTTAATATTTATTATTTTAGCTTTTACTCATCAAAAAACTGAATGAAAACATCAGTGCTTCAATTTAACAATTTAATATATTTCTCATTCTAAATATATGGGAAATGCTGTCATCTCCACCATTTTTAAAACCCAAAAGTTGCATTATTAGATTTGTATAATAACTTGCATTGGTCTAAACTGTTTGGAATTATTCAAATGAGACAATAAAGTGAGCCTGAAGAGCTTCAGAGAGCATTTTGTAAGCCTTGCGTGGGCTTGAGAGTGTCACGCCTTTGCTCTAATTATTTAAGCAGATCTGTTTCCAGTTCAATAATTACACAAGGCGAAACCACCATCCTACATAGCCTATCCATTGCATTTAAAAATATTTTAAATTTAAAATTATTTTAAATTGCAATAATATTTCACAATACTACTGTTTTTATATGAGTGCACCATCATGTGAATTCTACTCTCCACAACAGACTGTCTAAGCAGGAAGTATCATAGGACGACATAATCAGACCTCCAGGGAAAGCATTTTAGACAGCTAGAATGACAGCTGGACACTTCTGAGGACCTGCTGTCTATGCTGATGATGACCAGACAGACATACGCTTACACACACACACACACACACACACACACACACTCTCTCTCTCTCTCTCTCTCTCTCAGCAAGCACATTCAAGCTGTCCTGCATTAAATTATGTCACTGAACATGAAGCAAGGGGAAATCAGCATATAAGCCAGTTGTCCGTTTACCAAACTTTATTTAATCTCAATTGTATAATACATGAGCGTACAAGAACACCCTTACCTTCACACAAGTCGTCTCCCTCTGACATGAGTTCATCATCAGAGCAGATGTTTAGGACATTCACCAACATCTCAGTCACTGTAAAAAGCGAAACTTCCACGTTAGAGCTGCAATATAAGCTGCTATTTTATATGATATCTATGTAGGTCTTTATTCTGTGCTACAATATTCCTAGAATTCCTAGTTTAATCAAAATATATATGGCTTACAGCCATGTAAAGATGGAAAGACTCAGCAAGTCTCAGATGATTTTGTAAAAGGTGCCCTTGAATACGCTGGCACAAATAGAATGACGTTAATATGACGTTTCAGGTTTGAGTTTTTCTGTATTCTTCCCACTGAGAGGACACAGTCAGCCACCAAAGACACGTCATCAGCAAGGTCATTCTTCCTTCACCTCCACATGGCCTGTCAAATACTACCAACCATCTCAGTCTCACAGTCCCTACAAATAACAACCCTCGAGTTTGGACACTTACCTTTCTCGCCCACAAAGGGCAGCGACCACGTAAACACATCCATGAAGTTGGGTAACCAGTACGGGTGAGGAGAGCAGTTGAACTGTCTAATGTTCATGACATTGTTTTCATATTTCAATACAGCCGCTGAGGAGGAAAAACAAGGGGAGATGTCATGCACATTCATGAAAACAATAAAAAACAAAAAAGAAAAGCAACCTGATAGGCTGCCACACAGGTTCACAAACAGTCATCCAATACTTTGCCATTCTAGATTTCTAGACACTTTAGAGTCAGTATATGGTAATAATTACAGCAGATCTGCAGGGAATATTTTTTCTTTGCACAGCTGGCGATTGTTACATTATCCTTCAGCAGTCCAAATTAGAGGCTCCAACAATAAATATATGAAATCAGAAGTCTATTGTAAATTATTTAAATAAGTAAAGAAAAACCTCATTCTTATTAGCTGAGAATGTGGGACTGCTAAGTTGATTGTGAATGTCACTCGTAATGCTTTATCAAAGGGGCTGCGAGTTAAGTTTCCAAAGTAATAATGACGTTAGGTTTTTTTTTCAGGGTCTGAGAACAGTCTGAGGTTATGAAAAGCACGAAATGTGAGACCAACATACTTTAACATAAACTAACATACCTTTGTTGTTATAGACATCTAGGTAATTTGGTGCTGAGAAAATGGTAATTAATGAAGGGAAGCCTGTTGTCTGACTTTTTCTGTACATCCTGTACCTGAAACAGAGAAACACCCAAAATCTGTAGATTAGCTCAGCGTGCCAACAAGGCATCTGGCATAGATCAATAAACAAAGCGCTCTCTGTCATTGTTAGATAATGTACTCTTGTCAAATTCAGTGAGCAATGATCCAATGATCCACAGTTGCAGATGGTATATATATTTTTTAACTGGCAGACACAGAAGGACTACATTGACATCACAAGATTAAACTAGCAAAAGCGCAATTTAGCTTTTTCAATCTCACTATCATGAAACATCATAATCGATACTTACCCTGCGTCTTGTGCTTCATGTGCTCTGATTAATGACAACAGGTTGTTGTTTGTCAGAAAGTCACAAACTGCTGCATAACTGTCAAACAAGAGAAAGACAAACTTCTGAGGGTCTCATAATGAAAGACCGCAAGCATGTTTTCAGCCCTGTAAACATCTCAGCCCCTCTTGCTCATACTGAACCAAGCACGAACCAATGTACTGGATGGTTCTGAATACAGATTTTTGGGGTTCTCTTTAAGTCCACTCGGTCTCGATACAGTAAACTCAAGCTATTACAGGGTTCACAAAATCGCTAGCCCGACGTCCCGGGGCTATTGTGTTTTCCATTCGGGCTACCAAAATGTATCACTGTCCTGCCCGACGGGCTATCTTGAACAGTGATATAAAATCCATTCCTTGATTTGCGTTGTTCACTAGCTTGTAGGGGTAATACGGATCATAGTTGATCGTTTGCACATGTTTCTAAGTCTTGCCGATTTAAACATTCAAGTGTTTTAAACCATTCACGACCATTCGGAGCTGCGCGCACTCATTCAAAGCGCGCACAGAAAGCCGCGTTTCAGACAATGCGCGTACACAGAATTGATTCCTCTTTCGCATATCCTTGCATCTGAATGAACACATACACACAAAATTATCTCAAAATAACTGTCTCGGCAAGTATACTCGTAAATACAGTCGGTTATGTCTTAAGTGAACGTAAACAGTGGTGAAAGAAATCTCAAGTGCATCATTATATTGGATCCGTGCATTCGGTCTTAAAGGGGCAGCAGCCTATAAATACCTGCTGTTCCATAAGCGCCACCTGCTGTCAGAGAGTGGAGATTTGCATCTCATTCACAAAGCTAAAATCAGACCATTCTGTTTTTGCTTCAAATTTCGAAATTATACAATCTAATTGCAATCTAAATGACATGTATTTAGCATCTTTGTTTGGATCATGATTAAAATGCAGTGGTTGCCTCTGATTTTAAATGGAAAAAGCACAGCCAAAGCCTAAAAGAAAAATTGTGAGAAAATTGTATTGTGAAATCAGTATCGTGAATCGTATCGCAACGCATCGCACCGTTAGTTGAGTTAATCGTTACATCCCTATATGCTACTAGTTTTTGCTGTGGTATCAAAGTAGTATTCTGTTATTTAAATAATAAAGAACCATATTTTTTTTGCTCTTCTGCAAAATGATCCTATCTGTTACTCAAAATCTGATATGATAATGCAAAATGATCCGAGCCGTGGGTTTTGTGATCCGTTGCACCCCTACTCTCTTGACTTGTTATTTGAAGAAAAGAAGCAATCACTGAAGATTTTAATCATGCTGATTTGTCCGCAGTGAAGTTCAGCCAAATTTTTTATTTTATTTTTTTATTCGGCTTAAATTCATTTTGGGCTACCAAAATCTGAAGAATGTGTGCCCGAAGGGCTACCAGCGATTTTGAAATTTTGCGAGCCCTGCTATTAGACCACCACCTGCACTTTGTTAACATTCAGTTGGCGTGGTACAAGCAAATGCCAGCTGGACAAGCAAACAGTGAACAAGCACACTTCTATATACACCCAGAACGAAACCAGCTGGGTGACACAGATCAGGTTATTTCCAGGAGTCGCTGCAAATCAGACAGGATTTCCGCACCGGCTCACAGATGCCCGAATAACTCAGTTGACTCCGACGATTATGAGCAAGTACAAAAAAAAACAGGAAAAAAAAGAAAAAGGTTTTACAACAACATTTATACAACAACAACATACGTAACCTAAGCGTATTGCTTAGGCATATTGTTAAAACCTCAATACTCTAAGTGCTTTATAGTTCTAAATAATAAGCCTGATAAAAGTAACTGATTACTCATGCAAACATTACATATCTACATGCATATATAGGCCACACACACATATTATATATATATATATATATAAAAGCTACATTAAATTTTTTTTGCATAGCTACATAAAAATACACAAATTTTTTTTTCATAAATTACAACATGTATTAATAAAAAATATCAAGATTTAAAAATAAACAATAAAAACCAAAAAAAAAAACAACAACAACAAACAAACATATAAAAAGTTATTAAACTTAACTTATAAACTTTTTAAATGACTTTTTTGCTACTTTTCAATAGTCTTATGTATAGACATAAACAAGAACAGAATACACAAAAATGATGCATAAAACAGTTATTATTACAAGTATAATTATAATAGAATTATAAATATAATTTGGATAATAACTTAAAATACTACACTGATTTGTTATGTGTGAATAAAAAGAAAAATGAAGGTAAATATACCTTTCATATTATATTTCATAATATTATTATAATGTTGAATAAATCTCCTTTTCTCAAAAATCTGGGAGATCTACCCAGTGAATACAGCTTTGCTTCAGTACCTGAAGAAATAGGAGCAGCCTCTGACTGAGTTGTGGTTAAAGTGCTCTGCCGTCTTCTCACTGCCGTAGTCCTCTCCCGGGTCGGCCCAGATCAAATCACACATAGGCCCAAATGCTGGGGGCTCCTTAAACCTGTCTAACTGCAAAATACAGCGTACAGACAAAAAAAGAAAGAGGCATGAACATCTTGTTTTATAATTTAAAAAAACGTAAGGAAAGGACAGGACATAAACAGATGCTTACTTTCCTAATGTCATCTAAGCAGTTGATTTCTGGTGAGAGGCCACCGTGTACACAGAGGAACTGCTGGTTTAGAAGAGCTGCAAGAGGCAAGCAGTCGAAGGCCTCCATACATGTCTCATAAACCCTCTCTGAATACTTTATTTTACCTGAGAAGAAACAAAGACAGACAAGCACGACTATATTAGAGTTCAGAGCACTGAAGTCAAGAAAAACCCAGACAGACTAATTTCTCCTTCCCTCAGCCTATCACTAAAGATCAGATATGGTTCATTGAGCTGCACTGTTGCATTTATTTCATGAAATAAATAATAATTATTATTATTATATTTCATGAAATAATAAAAGCAATCAAGAACTCAAACCTTTCAACAACAAACTACAAAGCAATTTACATGGCAGTATATCACTCATTCAGTAACATTTTTATCAAAGGCTGACCTTGACATTTGAATAAATAATTGATTAAAGAAATACAGGTAGAGATCATAGGCTATTTATGATAGGTGGGACATCACATATCTCCACCACTTATTGCCATGGTCGCTTTTGTCCCAACCACTTTATAACATAAAACTTATGATAACGATAAGGATGTGTCTAAATACATCTAATTAAAAGTGTGAATATTTGAATTGAATGTTCAGTTCACTGGTTTTTGATTCAGTTCAAAAGCACAACAATTCCATTTGATTTCCATATGCAATTCAATTTAAACAAATGTATTTAAAAAAGTATATTATGCTAACAAAGGCTATTTATTTAAATATATAGTAAAAATACAGTAAAACATTAATTAAATAACATGTATATAAATATATATATATATATATTTTTTTTTACAATTTACTAATTTAGATATACGTTAAATGTAATTTATTCCTGTGATGGCTCAATAAACATTTCTTATTTTTTTTATAAATTTTGTAAACAGTTGTGCTGCTTAATATTTTTTGTGGAATCCATTAATTTTTTTCAAGAACTGTATGATCATTATAAAGTTCAAAAGAACAGTATTTATTTGAAATAGTCATGTTTTGAAACATCATAAATTTTTTTGATCAATTTAAATTATCCTTGCTCAAAATAATTCATTTCCTAAAAAAAAAACATTTTACTGCCTCCCACAACAAAGAATTTGCAGTGGTACTTTAAAACATATTCCAGTACATTGCTTGTTAAAAATGTATGTTATTAATGAATTTATCAAATCCGGACTTAAATACAAAAACAAGCAACTCCATGTGCTGCTGAAATAGACCTGCTCTTCAAATCAGTACATACACTATTTATTTAGTAAAGCAGTAAAAGTCATAATCAAAACCATGCTAAATTATTTGTACATAATAATATTCCATGATTTCACAACCAGCATGTCTGTATGCAGGCAGACAGTAATAACTATACCTAAAGCGACAAAACCTGCCACCAAGCAGACACAAAAGCAGCAGGGACTATTCAATTAAATTCAAATGAGCCTAATTAGTGCAATGCGAATCCTTAATTCAGCTGCTGATTAAGCTTATAAATACTTTAGTATCTGGACTGAAGTAGTCTCATTAGTCTTGTCTTCTGGTTTCCACTGAATACAGCTGGGTTATTCACCAAACCGTATTACACATTCGCTCCTCGAGCGAGGTCTCATGGAGAGCACTTGGGCTTCCACTGAACATTCAGCCATGAAACCACCTCCATCTTTGTTATGCAGAGCACAATAGCTATGCTATTGTATGAGCTTAATAGCAAACAGTGCTCATTTCAAGCACAATAGACTAGTACCAATGACCCATACAAAACCAAAACTAGGGATTTAATCAGACCTTCAAAAGAACCTTCATTTAAATGTAATTTAGATTTTACCAAGAAGCAAAAGCATAATATACTATAGCATAATGTAATATGCTATAGTATACAATGCTATTACATTAGCAAAGTTGATACACATGGCCGGGATAACCTTATGAAAAAAGTATTGAACGTGCTTCTTGTAGTGTACTTTTAAAGATAAATTTTAAAGGTACATTTAAAAAACTGTACTTGCAGATAAAAAATATTAATGAAATAAAATATATAATGTTCTAACAATAAAATATAACATTTTAACAATCTTATTTCATCTTATAACTACAGTGGGGAAAATATTTATTTGATCCCCTGCTGATTTTGTACGTTTGCCCACTTACAAAAAAATGAAGGGTCTGTAATTTTTATGGTAGGTTTATTTTAACGTATAGAGACAGAATACCAACCAAAAAATACAGAAAAAAAACACATTATATAAAGGTTAGAAATTGACTTGCATTTCAGTGAGTGAAATAAGTATTTGATCCCCAAGCAAAACATGACTTAGTACTTGGTGCAGAAACCCTTGTTGGCAAGCACAGAGGTAAGATGTTTTTTGTAGTTGGTCACCAGGTTTGTACACATCTCAGGAGGTATTTTGGTCCACTCCTCTTTACAGATCCTCTCTAAATACTTAAGGTTTCTGGGCTGTTGTTTGGCAACTCAAAGTTTCAGCTCCCTCCACAGATTTTCTATAGGATTATGGTCTGGAGACTGGCTAGGCCACTCTATGACCTTAATGTGCTTCTTCTTGAGCCACTCCTTTGTTGCCTTGGCAGTATGTTTTGGGTCATTGTCATGCTGGAAGACCCATCCATGACCCATCTTCAGTGTTCTGGCTGAGAGGAGGAGGTTCTTGTCCAAGATTTTACAGTACATGGCCCCGTCCATTTGCCCCTCAATGCGGTGAAGTCGTCCTGTACCCTTAGCAGAAAAACAGCCCCAAAGCATAATGTTTCCACCTCTGTGCTTGACTGTAGGGATGGTGTTTTTGGGGGCATAGTCAGCATTTCTCTCCATCCAAACACGGCGAGTCGAGTTAATGCCAAAGAGCTCAATTTTGGTCTCATCTGACCACAGAACTTTCTCCCAAGCCTTCTCTGAATCCTTCAAAGGTTCATTGGCAAACATTAAACGGGCCTGTACATGTGCCTTCTTGAGCAGGGGGACCTTGCGGGCGCTGCAGGATTTCAGTCCATTGCAGCGTAGTGTGTTACCAATGGGGCCTAAAATTAACACTCGCCAAGCGCCAAATGAGAGTTAAAATCAGCATTGGCGAGTATATGTAACGGTGTAAGTCCCCAGTTGACGGGTACAAACTTTTACGAATTATAACAATGCAATGAAGTGAAAACAACAGCCAGTTTTTAAAGAG